AGATAGATAGATAGATAGATAGATAGATAGATAGATAGATAGATAGATAGATAAGTGGATAGATAGTCATTCAGTCATTTTTCAGTCATGTCTGCCTCTTTGTGACCCCATTTAGGGTTTTTCTTGGCAGAGATACTGGAGTGGTTTGCCATTTCCTCCTCCACCTCATTTTACAGATGAGGAAACTGAGGCAAATGGTGACTTGCCCAGGGTCACACAGCTAGTAAGTGTCTGAGGCTGGCTTTGAATGCTTGAGGATGAGTCTTCCTGATACCAAGCCTCTGGTGCTCTGTGCACTGTACCACTCTTGGACCTGACTCCCTTAGCTTAGGAGAGTGGGTATTCAGACCCACCCATAAAGGGGACAGAGGCTACAGAACAAGGAAATCATGAAAGGTTAGAACTGGAAGGGACCTTAGAGACCAGCTGGCCCTATCCTCTCATTTGACATGGGCCCAGAGGGGGACGTTGACTTACCCAAAGTTACCCACGTAGTTGGTGGCGGAGCTGGAACACTAATACCAGGCCTTGTGACTCTTAGGCTGGGGTTCTTCCTACCATGGTGAGCGCCAGGCCCAGAGCCAGGTCCTTGGCCCATGTGGCACCCACTGAAAGATGGAACAGCCCATACTGGCTTTCCAGAGAGCATTTCCACATTCCTGTTTGACCCTGGAATGAGCTGAGCCAGCTGCAGCATCCCTCTTCAGGAGGGCAGACTATGGATGGACAGAAGAGTTATCCTACCTGAAGATCAACATCGCCCAAGGGGTCCAAAATTTATAGGCACCTTCCCTCAGGTGATGCCCCTGGGAAAAGTTCATCAGCCCCTGGATTTGGCCTGTGACTTTGTCCTTTTATTTCCCAAACACCTCCTTCCCTCAGGCTGTTGTTCAGAAGCTACCCAGACCCCTTGGAAACAGCAATGTTTCTGCAAGTATCTTGTGCTATTTTCAAACAAAGAGTCCTGTGGACTGCCACCCATATATACCTGGAGCACAGGCTGCCCATCCCTACAAGGCTCACCTTTCTGAACTGCTTCAAGTCTAGAAAGCCAGTGAAAAATTGGAAGAACTTCACGTCAAAGAGTCCCTGGGGCACATTATACTTCCAGGTGGAAGAGAGGCTCACAACAGAAGGCCTGGCTATTTTTCCAAAAAGCTAGACTTGGGGGCAGCTAGGTGGTGCAGTAGATAGAGCACCAGCCCTGGAGTCAGGAGGACCTGAGTTCAAATCCAGCCTCAGACACTTGACACTCACTAGCTGTGTGACCTTAGGCAAGTCACTTAAACCCCGACTGTCTAGGGTAGGGGGAAGTTAGACATGAATAGGCATTTAACAAAGACAGCTGAATGATCCCAATGGATCTGATGACTGCTAGCAACTGCCTAATGAATGAGGTGTTGAGAAGGATGTTTCTGGGGAACGTAGGATATTCCAGGGTCAGAAAGATACAAGAACCCAGTCTGCACTCCTACTTGACATTTGTTGTCCCCAGAGAGACAGTTGACTACAACTACTCAGGGTTTTAGGAATAATCCTTTGGGTTTGGGTTTCAGTATTGTGGCTTTTGAGCCCCCATCCATGTACTTCACATTAACAATTTGCTGGCCAGACTTAAACGGCTTTTAGAAAAGGTTATTTACCAAGAAAGTGTGGTGTGAACAATAGATACAAAATGTTCCCAGAAGGCCCCTGGGGAGAGTAAGCTCTTAAAGTACAATGACAGTGAGGCACATGTGTATAGAAGACACATGGCAAAAGGATATCCTTCTCCTTCTGGTTACTGAAAGTCCTTTTCTTCCTTCTCAAAGTCCTCATGAAATCCCCCTTAAGTGTAGCTCTCTATTGGGCTACAAGAATCACTATCTTTGTTCAGGCAACATCCAGCACTTGACTCTTCATGGTTTCCTCCTATTCTGAGCAACAGGATTGGCTGACAAGAATAAGAATGACCTTTTCCATTTCCATATTGTGTAAAGCTTTGTTAAAGCCTTCCATCCTGACAACCCTGTTAGGGAGGAGCTTATGTGCTAGGCACTGTGCTAAGTGTTTTACAAATATTATCTCATTTGATCCTCACAGCCCTTGGAGGTAGGTGCTATGATTATCACCATTTTACAATTGAGGAAACTGAGACAGAGGTTAAGTGAATTGCCCAGGGTCACACACCTAGTAAGGATCTGAAGCTAGATTTGAACTCAGGTCTTTCCGACTGCAGACCCAACGTTCTATCTACTGTATGACATGGCTGCAAGTATTACTATGATCATTTTATAGTTGAGGAAACTGAGGCTCAAAATGGTCAAGTGACTTGTAGCGGGTCACACAGCTAGTAAGTGACTCAAACCTAGATCCTGTGACTTCCAAGATCAGTGCTCTTCCCATTATTCTACATGGCATTGATCAGCTGCCATAAAGTGCCCAGCCCTATGCTAGGCACTTTGGGTACGTGTGAAAGCAGAGGCATCATCCTTGCCCCTGGGGGACAGATAAGTGAGCCAAAACTGAGTCATAAAGAATAAATGGAAATCTATGCTGAAAAATACAGCAGTTTCCATGGAAGCAGCAGTGTATGGAAAAGAGTATCAGACTTGACTTTAGGAGAGTTCTGGGCTTAACTCCTTCTAACTACTCTGTCTGTGTACTATATGTATTGACATATATACATGTTGTCTCCCCCGTTAGGATATAAACTCCTTGTGACCAGGGACTGTTTTTGACCTGCATAATATCCCTGGCACTTAGCCCAGTGCTTAGCGCATGGTAAGCGCTTAATAAATGCTTTTTGTTTGCTAAAAGCACTTCTCTGGCCTCTATTCTCTGTGACCTTGGTCAAACCTCTGAATTTCAGTTTCCTCGTCTGAAATATAAAGATAATACTTGACGCTATATATCTCCCGGCATTATTGCAAGAAACGTGTTTTGGGGACCTTAAAACACTATAGAATTGCAAGTTATTACTTCCCAAAATGAGTTCAGGGGTAGGACCAGGCAAGAGACTGTGTGATCATGTTAGATGAGAAGAGGAATGGTAAAGGGCTGTTGAAAAAGGTTGCCCTTTCTAGATCCAGGGCTCACAGGGTTGGGGGCCTGATCCTGAGAAAGGAACTCTGAGGCAGCCCCTGTGGCCTCAGCACCACGGACAGCAAGGTGTTGCCCAGACAGCCAGCACAGACTTCATCCTCAGATTGCCAGACTGAAAGTCAGCAGCAAGGGGCCAACGAGCCCCTTACTTCCCTCCTTTCCCCTCTCCCCATGTGACCTCACATCCTCAGGATGATGTGGGAAGCAAAGAGTTAATTTTATTTTTAGGGGCCCTTGGGTTTTTTCATGGCTGGTTTCACAGAGGAAATAGAGCGTGACCACATTCCCTAGGCTCCTGGTGTCTGAGCAAGCTCTCCCACCATGCACAGCTAGGTCTGCCTGCCATCTCCCGGACTAGGGTGAATGAGCTGATGCCCTTTCCCATAGGCATTCTCACCAGACTCCTTTCTCCTTCCATAGTGAACCCAGTCAGTTAAACTGGACTCTAATCTCTGCCCTCTGTCCACTGACTACCCTGAAGGAGCAGACCCTGTATCACCTCCAGTCTTCCCCCTCTCCAATCCCTCTTCTACAGGGCTTCCAAAATAGCCTTTCTAACCCACAGATCCAGAGAAGAGGTATAAAAATATACCTCCCTCCTTTCTCTGCAGAGGTGGG